CTCGTAGATTTTGTAGGTCTTGAGATTAAAAATCTGTACAGACGTACAAACAGATACGCGCACAGATGATCTCTTGATAATATGCGTTTCCGCATTGCATGGATGCAAAAAACGTATAAAACTGACAATACAGTTAAAAACGGCCTGAACGGTTTAAAACCTCCTAGAAATGAAGGTGCCGTAGAGATAATTCGCATGGAAGCATAAATACTAGCACCAATCATCAGCCGGCATGGTGATCGATAATGAGCAAACATACTTAAAATACTGATACGACCAAATTTTTGAATAATATTCAATAAAAATGTATTTTAAACATTTTCACAACAGCTTCTTAGAAGTAAGTTGATGCTAATTTTCCGGCGCAAGCTACTCCAGGTTTGCCATCGAAACTAATGAAAGAGTTGGGAAGGGACTAGGTGTTATAATGGCGGGACTAAATTTTCAATCTTTCGCAACAGAGTACCATTAGATGGTTTTATAAATGTATGCGCACTGTTTAGTAGAGCTGAGAAGGGATTGGATGTTTCCTAATAAGTCTTAGAAGCCAAAATCGAATATGATTAATACACTGCATAAATCGCATTTTAGTATTTTGATTTTCAGACGGAAATAATGCATTTTAGGAGTCAAAATTCATATTATTGAAATATCAGGTGATATTTAAAAAGAAATACGTTTTAATATATTGATTATTGTTGTGATTAAAATTTTAAAATACTGCGAAATTTACGAGGATAATTCGCTGCACCGACAATTTCTTATTTCTGCAGACTGGCATTTTTTAGGAAATGGCTTAATTAAAAACCCAGTTCTTCAGGGAATGGCTTGATTAAAAACTAAAGTGATTTGAAACTGAGGAAATGAATGTTAGTACCTCGCACTGGCATTCATTATCGAATGACTTATGAGCAACTGGTGACTGCGAGAAGATAAAGCGCGAGGTTTGGTTCCTCATCTGCTTACAGAAATCGCAGAATACGCTGAAAAAAAAAATGCTAAGTCATGTGAAATCATTTGACGCTCAGAAATTTATTGGCAAAAATTATCAAAACGCCTCTGTTTCAGGCATTTCTGAATCATTCACATTACAGATGTTACCTTCTCTCTCTATTATTATATGTAATGTTATGAATTTCTTATACAACAAACCCTTCTTATTTACTACTTATCTTTTTCAGTTCTGGTCCACTTTTTAATCTTTTTATCTACTAACATCCTGAAGTACCACCTTTCATTTTGCGTTTTTGCTGCGCAGTGGTAAAGCGCTGCTACAGCGAGAATAATTGGCCAACGCACGGACAAAGATGCGTTTTTTGCG